TCCTCCACTCGGCTCTGGACCATGACAAAGGCCTCGGTCAGGCCGCTGACCATCAGCGAGCCGGGCGCCCCCGGCACCAGGTGGGCTGATGTGCTCCAAGTCAGGCAATCAAGGAAGAAGCCCTGGGCTCCCAGAAAGATGCAGTGCAGTTTGGGTGGGTAGTGAATTTCATTCCGTAGCTCTGGGCTGCAGAGACCCTTCAGGTACTCCTGGGGGAAAAGGTGGGGAGGGGAGGTAGGAAAAACAAAAAGAGACTGCTGGAATCCTAAGTGGCCCAAAAGCTCCTTCGGGGCTGCTGCTCTGCTCTGAGCTCCAGGATGCCTGAGGAGAGCAATGGAGCCCTACAGATCCTGAAAAACGTGGTGGTTAAGAGGGGAGCGAGAAACTCACTTCTTTGCCTTTTCAGTTGACAGCCTGTGGCTGAATTTCCATTTAGAACTTGCCTCAACTTAAGAAACTGTTATAATTAATTGGTTAAAAGGCTGTCTCTTCTAAACATTTATGTGTGTGTACGTGTGTTGTATATTTCCATCATAACGATCATCATTGATAACTTTTACTGAACTCACGCTTTACGTGCTTTATCTAATTCACAATAAGTTCAGTGAGGTGGATACTGTTATTATTCACATTTTATAGATAAGGAAACAAACTAGGACCACAAGGATGGTATTTGATCGTACCTTACTGTAAATCCTGACTAACTCCAAAGGAATCAGTGTGGCCTCCCACCCCACAGTGAATTCCTTGGTGGGGCCTGCCTGCCCAACCAGATTATCTCTTCTCTCCCAAAGAGTACAAACTGATTTGAACTGAGTCACTTATCTCCAAGCCCTGGCAGAATCTGGGTTATCGCAGCAGAAATGAAACCAAAACTCTTGACAAACAGAGAGTTTGGAAACTCCTCAAAGCTCAGGGCCAGTGAGACAAGCAGAGTGGCGATCCTCCCCAGCCCCTCCTCTATTCTACCTCCTCGGGGGAGGGAGTCATTGTTTCCCCAGAAGGGTCAGGGAGAGGCGTTCACCTTGGCTCTGCTGGCGTTCTCCTTGGGGCCTTCCAGCTGCAGCCAGATGTGAGGGTTCTCAGGACAGTCCTTCGGGAGGACGCTCATCCCCACCCTGAAGATACGCTCCACATAGGGTTGCTGTTCCCGCACCTTGCCCTCGGCCTCCGCAGACACCGCAAAACGGTCAGGGGACGGGGAGCCAGCCCCCCAGGTAGGCATGGCTCCCTGGCCGCCCAGCCCTGGAAGGAGGGAAAGCAGCTCAGAGCCTCAATGTCCCCTCAACCCAAATTTGGTCTCCTGGCCTACACCAGCTACCAACAGGTCGCACCTAGATACCAAACTGGTAAACCCAAGAGGTAACTAGCACTTCAGTCCAGCCTGGGGATAGGGAGGGAATGTCAGATTATCTGGACACAAGGGCCTTCTCTCCGGAGACAAGTCATGGATAAACAAGGCTGTCTCTCTGGGATGGGTGTGTGGCCTTTGGAAAATGACCACAGCCCTGAGCAGGAAGCGGGGGCGGGGCGGTGGGGGCGGAGATCCAGCTGGGTCTGGAGGCCAGAAGGAGGGGACAGGTGACGAAAGAGTCCCTCTCCTCCGGGTCTCTGCAATCTCCGGGTCCAAGACGGCCTCTTAAAGATGAATCCTCACCAGGGCTTGAACTGGGCTGTCCTCTGGGTCCCTTGTCATCCATTTCCAAGGTTCTAGCCACTCCCACCCCTCCCCCTTCCTCCGCCGTCTGCTGCACCCCTCGGTCGCGCCACGAGCCCCACGCGGGGCCCAGGGGTCGGACCGGGCCCCGCCCATAGCCGCTGGCGGCTGCCGCCCCCCGACTGCGCTCTGCACTGCGGCCTCTGGCTCCCGCGGCCCGGGCGCGGGGGGGAGCGCGCCTACCCGCCTCGCCGCCCGCC